ATATTAACCTCACTTTGTCATTCACCGCCCCCGTGCAAGCATTATGCAGGAGTGCTGTGGCCCAGGCCACCTGTGAGGTCCAGGGAGACGAAGAGCAGCGAGACACGAGCTCATGTTCGTCATCAGCCCAGCGCTTTGATACTCTGCATGAGGCCCCGGCCCTCTTTGCCTGAGGGTCAGAAGCTAGCCTTGGAAACAGCCTGTGTGTCCATCAATGGAAGAACGGATACAGACGTGCGGCGTCTGCACAGCATGGAGTACCACCCTGCCATAAAGAAGGACAAACCTGGGTTATTTGTAGACAAAGGGGTGCACCATGGGACCACGGGATTATGTGAAATAAATCAGGCACATGAGCTTAAAGGTCACAGGGTTTCCCTTATGAGAGAAACAATGTAAATACAATAAGAAGCAAAATAAAAGAAATGATAGGGAAGCACACCTTCACCATAGCAAAAACCGCTCTTAGGAATCTCTGAATCCGAAGCTCACAGGCCTGTGTCCACGGTTCGGCTGCTCAAGCCTTGGTCACTCTGGCCTTGAAGTCCTGGGGCTGGCGGCCTGCGCCCCTCCCCGCCCGGCCTGATCCCTACCTCAGCCGGCAGGTGTGGTGTGAGCCCTTGGCCCCGGCTGCTGCTTCTGCGAAGGAAGCTGCGCTCAGCCCTAACTTGCTGTGCTGCTTCCCCTTTGTGGAGAAGACAGGAAGGGGCGGGGCGGTGGTGCCTGCTGTCACCCCCGGGTCTGTACCACAGAGGTGCTTAGCACAGCTCCACTCCAGCAGCCCGGCTCTGCAAACTCCTGCATCATTTTCCTTGGGCCAAGGGATATTATCCCCTGTCGACTATTCTAGGGATGTTTCCAGGTTTTTCCAGTGGTCCTAAGGATAAACCCAGTGCTCTACCACTGAGGTACACCCCCAGCCTCAGCTTTCCTCAGTGCTGGGATTCGAGATGTGTACCGCTGTGCCTGGCTCTTTTCTCTTCTTTTTCTGCAAAGGGCCAGGGAGAAGCTGTCTGCCCAGTACACGCACAGCTGCCCTTGCCCTAGTGAGGAGCACACAGCTCTGCCCTGTGCTTTGTCTGATAACAGAGGAGTGTTCCCTCCCGAGCGCAGGCCACGAGTGACAGCCCTCTTCTCTCCCTGCATGGGAGATGCTGTGACAAGATCCTTTGGCTGAGAGACACTCCTGGAGAGCCGTCCTACAGGTGGGCACTGGGGCTGGTGAGAACAGGCGGATGGCGAGCAGGAAACAGCAAGAGGTGAGGGTGGGGCCCGTGGAAGCAAGGAGCAGAGAGGAGGCTGAGGCGCCCAGGCCACGGTGCTTTCCCACTGGAGGGCTGAGCCGCCAGAGAGGGCCCGGAGAGGCTGGGAGGTTGGAGGAGCTGGGAGTGACTGCAGGAAGCCCAGCTCCGTGTGCTGAACTTCACTGTCAGGGAGGGGGATGGGCAGAAAGGGAGTCCGTGTGGGAAAGGGGTGAAGGGCCCTCTTGCTTTGAGTCCCCTAGACTCCTGGGCTGGGAACAGTAGCAAGTGAGGGACAAGGTCAGGGGCAACACCCCCCAGGGAGAGGGCACATGGGAAGCTCGTGTTCCCTGCGGCCTGGTCCCCCTATTGGCATCAGGGGGCCTTTGGGAGAGGGAGGCAGATGGGCTGCTCAGGTGGAGATACTGGAGCCTGTGAGGGGCAAAATTAGAGGAGCCTTCGTGGTCCTCTCCCGTGGTCCTAAGCCCTGGGTCTCCCCAGTGTGAGAAGTGCCAGTGGGGAGCCGGCCCGCTGTGGCTTCCCAACCCCAAGGCTATCAGGACACAGCTCAGCCTGCTCCGGTTGGGGTCTCAGCCCTCAGATCTGCCCAGGACCCTCCCCAAGCCTCCTGACCTCCCTCACCTTGGGGCTACTACCATGTATTTGGGTCCTTGGACTGCACAGCTTGTCTGGAAGACAAGAGGTCACCTAAATAAATCCCATCAGAGCATATGGCAGGACTTATAGGGGAATGTTCCAGAAGGTTCTGGTTCTTTCCTGTTGTATGACAGCTGGTTCTGAGGTGTGCGTCTCACTCCCAAGGCTAGGAGCACATCTGTGGGGATGAAACTCAGGGAGAAGAGGCTATGGGGTGAGGTGAAGCGAGCAAGGGAGGCAGGGAGGGAGCGAGTGTGCATATGGTGCTGCATTTTGAGGTCTGCATAAGACTCCTTTAAAGGAGCTCCAGCTCTGAAATTTTCAACCATGTCAGACTACTATTTTTTTTAGAACTTAAGTTTTTGGGGTGGATTTTACAAGAATCACACTAAATACTGTTGCCAGGGCCTGAAACATTCCCATCGGGGACCTATTGGTCTCCAGTGAAATGGAATAAATAAGCTTCACACCCCGCATCCTTGGGTGCAAGGCTGTGAATTCTGGCTTGCCAGCCTGTGGCTGCGACTAGGCCCCCTTCCCCTAGCCACTGGGGCCTCACACCCGGCCAGTGCTCCCAGGGCCGGCCTTCCTTCTTCCGGGACCGCTGACAGCAGCAGTGCCCCATGGAGCAGCCCCATGACCCCTGTGCAGGCCGCGGGCCTCCTGTCCTGAGTTACGTTATGCAAAAACAAGCGCTGTGACATCTGCTGGTACTCCTAGATGCTGTCTTTTCCTGGGGTGCTGTGGGGACAGGGAGCTCCTGCTGGATCTCCAAGTGGCTTTTCCAGGCTCCAACTGGACCTGTACGGGACCCTGAGCCAATAGCCCTGTGCTGGAGGATGCAGGGCTGTGACTGGATGCCTCGTGAGTGAGCTGTGTGATCTGGCACTCTCTGGAAGTGCTGGGCAGCAGCAAGAGCCACACTCCCCTTGGGCCACCAGTAGGACATGCTGGGACTCTGCTGGAGACTGTCTGGGACCCCAGTATGCATAGACTACCCGGGCACTGGGCACTTCCTTGTGCAGCAGCTCACGTGACACGGAGTTCGCCCCCCGGGGCTAGCATGGGTGTTTTAAGAACTGCCCAGGTCGCCGGGGCCTGCAGCACCCAAGAGAGGAGGCTCTGAATGGTCCTGCACATTACCCAGATGCTGTTAGCCTAAGGATGGGTCTCCGGGAGGCTGCTGTGGTGCCCAGGGGAGTGCCCACGTGAGCTTCTCCCTTCACGAACAGGAGCACTTACTGTGTTCCTGCCATGCTGTCACTGATGACGTATCAGCAAAGGGGGCCGCAGTCCTGGGTCGAGCCAGACAAGAAGCCCAGCCCAGGCAGGGCGTGGCCGCCGGTGGACACACGCACGCGCGCGGGCACTGCGCTGATGAGTCCAGCCGGCTCCCAGTGATGCCAGGAGAGGCTGCGGAGGCATACGCGAGGGCCCGGCCGCCGGATACGCGGTGGACACAGAGCAGAAGGACAGGGCGCCTGCCCTCCTGGAGACCCGCGGGGACTGCGCTAGGGCTGGATTGCGGGGCAGGCGAGGGCGGTGTGCTGCAGGGGCCCTGCCCATCCTCGCCAGCGCCGGAAGCCGGGGAGGGGCTCTGATGCGGTACGTGGTGGCTCCTCTTTAGGTAAATTGGAAGGGCCGGGGAAAGGCCCGGGAAGTTACCAAAGTACGCTTCCGGGGCTGGCTGTGAGGGCGCTTCCGGCATGACTGGCTCGCAGGGAGCAAGCTGGGTGGGGGACACCACCCTGACTGCAGGCAGGAGGAGGCGGTTGCCGGCACAGGTGCAGTCTGCCTGCCCGTCTTCTCCTGTTCTGCTTCTCTTTTCCCCTTTCCACTGCCATGAGGTGCGCTACTCCTCTCTGCCGGCCCCTCCGCCACGATGCTTCTTATCCCAGACCCAAGAGCAGTGGAGACCCCAGCCGCGCACTGAGCCTCCTGAGGCCGCGCGCCAAGTCAGCCTGCAAGCCGCTGCCTCAGGTGTTTGCTCACAGCGGCTGCAAGCTGAAGACGCCTGTCCTGACCAGACAGATACTGACCACCTCGCTGCTGACCGGAAGGGGATGCGCGCGCAAGAGGTGGCACGGGGGCTGGGCGGTCACCCTCGACATCTGGGCTGGGTGGTGGCCGCTCACAGAGGACGAGGGTTGGACACTGACATGAGGGACAGAGGATGAAGGAGCGCCCAGACACGGCCTGCACCGCCAGGGAGAAGCCGCCTGCCCGCATCTATATGAAGAAGGTTGCGCAGCAAGGCAGGAGTGGTGGCGCAGGCATGTCTCCTTGGCTTCCTGTGCCTGGGCCTTCTCACGGAACCCCGTAAGGACAGGGCTGGGCCCCCAGGTTTCAAGGCCCCGCCATCTTGGCCAGGACCCAGTGCTTGGTGGGGACGCAGTTCGCGTCTGGTGACTGCCTTTGGGTAGGCAGGAAGACTCCTGGAGCAGAGAGGGGCTGGGCCCTGGCAGGGCCGCCGCCGCCGCCGCTACTGCCCGTGCCCTGTGGAAGGCTGCCTGCCCCACCCTCAGGCTGCTGCTGATTTTGCCAGTGCAGCCCAGCGTAGGGTGGTGCCGCACTTGGCGGACCCATCCTCCTCCTGCTCCCAGCCCCAGCAGTGCCCGACACCGCACCCCAGCCCCCTACACCTAGCAGTGTGCCTGGGTGTCAAATCTTTCTTGCATTCAACTTAAAAAGAGAACAAGGAAGCCAGTGAGGAAGAAAGTCATAGGAGCATGGTGGGGCTGTGGGGAGCAGGTGGCGGCAGTGTCCCTACCTGGTGTGAGCTGTAGGGTGACAGGGCTGGGACTGAAACTCCTTCCCTCCTGGGCCTGGTCTGCAAACCTAGGCAGGCTTGCTGGACCTTCAGTGCCCAGATGTCACACACACACTTGCACCACCAAGTTGGCCCAGCACAGTCACAAGCACTGGCAATGTCCACAGGATGGAAGTTCCCGCCTGTGCCTGTGGTCACCTCCCGGGGGTGGGCCTCAACCCCGGTCTCTGATTTCCCCAGGCCAGGCCAGGAGGGCCGCAGGTGACCCATAGCTCCCCAGCACGCATGGACACCAATCTGAAGGGACTGTGGGCTCCTCGCCACCAACTTGCCTTAACTACGTCTTCGTCGGATGATCTGCACTCCACCGACTCGAGCAGCCCAGTCACCGCGCCATCCTCCTCCACGGAGACCACCTTCACCGGCACGGCCACTGTCTTCCCTGTGAGGATGGCTGTGTTCAGGATCTCCGCCTCCTGAAAGAGTAGACACATGGTCCTGTCACAGCCCAGGGGGGATGGAGCCACCTGGCCCTGCGGTTGTGCAGTCCACCTGGCGCAGCCTCCAGCCCGAGGCTGGAGGGTCAGCGCTGGCTTGGACCACAGCAGCCCCCAAACCCTCCTTGCCCCACTGACGTGCCTGCAGGAGTCGTGATGGAGATTGGAGCAGACAGTGAGGGCAGTTGATTGACACCACGTTTGTGTCAACACAACCTGAAGTGCCAGATGCCCTAAGATTTTGAGGCAGAGCCTGTCTCGCTCAAGCTGAGGGTGGCAGTCCTACTGCCTCAGCTTCCCAAGTGCTACCAGCCTGGCTCAGACACCCCCCAACGAGGACCCTGGTGTTCTCACTGTATCCTCACTGGACAGGTGTAGTCGTTCTCTCTGCTTAATAAACAGAATTTTTGTAACATTTACAAGAACACACAGCTAGAAAGTGGTGGAGGCGAGGTCAGGAACCTGGGATTCAAGTAGGCCTAGCCTTGCACACAGTGGTGCCAGCTTAATCTTCAGCTGTTGGCGGGGGGCAGGGAGGGGGTGAGAGACGCTGAGGTTAGCAGTGCTCTCCTGCGAGGTGCAGGGGACGCAGAAGGCACCCGACGCCCTCGCGCGGCTGCGTGTGCGCGCAGCTCCCTGCGGCTCCTGGCTCTGTCCAGTCCAGGCCCCTGTACAGCTTGGGAGTCTACCCCGCCATGGTGGCTGTCCCACTGTCCCACTGAGGGGACACATGCATGTCAGCGCACACGCCAGCAGGCTCGAATCGGCGTCCCACGCAGTCCCTGGGGAGGCCGTGGCTGTCCTGGTGGCTGATTTGGGAGCAGAGAACCTGCCCCGCTCGGCAGCCCCAGAACAGGTGCAGCTCACCGTGGCCTGAGTCATGCAGGCCTTTGTACTTTGCCCTGAGGGCTCCTGGGCAGCGTCTGGCCATGACAGGTGAGGCCTGGCCGTGGCTGTGTCCACTAGGGTCCTCCAGGAGGGGTGAGATCCACACCACTGCTCCCCAGGGAGCCAGGTTTGCAGAAGGGGAAAGCTGAGCCCCAAGATCCAGGAAGTGGGCCTCGCTTCTACAGTGAAAGATCTGAGTCCTGGTGCCCCCAAATCTCACATGGCCACAGCCCCCAGCCCTCGTGCATGATGTCTGTGCCCATCGTGTCCCCAGGGGCTGTTTGTCTTCAAGCCCCACACATGTCTCTGGGGGCATCCACATTGCAGCCTGTCCTGGACTCCTCAGGACGCTTGCACCGGGCCACGGTGGTGAGCTGGCCCTGCTGGCCATGTCCCGGCTGTGGTCGTCGTCCTTGCCCTTTGGCTGTAGTGGAGAGTGGCCCTGCTGGCCGTGGCCCGGCTGTGGTCGTCCTTGCCCTGTGGCTGTAGTGGAGAG